AAGGAGCTAAGTGTGAGGAGGGAGGGGCAAGCAGTAAAAATTAAATGAAACTTTTTGAGCAGAATACTGCATAAGTCTTTGGACCTTTTTGAGTATAGCCTGAGGTTTATCATATTCTTTCCCTGGAGTAGAAAACCTATAATAGCAGAAGGGTTTGGGAATAATTTAATGAAGTTCCTCTAAATAACTGGTAAGGCAGACACGCATGCAAATTATGTAGAACACCATGATTTAGAAACATAGAAACAGAAACAGAGCAAGTCAGAAGGGACCTCGTAGGCCATCTAGTCTGACTCCTGGCTCCAACCAGCTCTGCTCATGACTTGCCTGACTAGTGATTTAAATTTTGATTTAGATGAAATCCACCCTGTCCAGGAATAGCCATAGTTGGTATATCAAAGCTAGGCTATTAGTCAATGCTAGGAAAAGGTGCCCTTAGCTCTGAGGTCATATGAGCCTGCACTGACAAAAGCAGAATCTGGGAGTACTCCCAAACTGCAGAAATTATTGAAAAATAGCAGCGAAGAAAATAATAATTTATTACAAAGTGACACATAATACTTACTATATCCTTACCTAACCTGACTGATTCCTCTCTTTAACAAATATCCTAACCACTAGTAGTTTTCCTCTCTTCCAGCTTCACTGAGATAAGGTTATGATTACAATGTCAAAATCATGCACAGTGTGGAGAAAGTGGAAAGGGAGACATTTTCCCCTTCATTTATAATATTAGAACTAGTGGGGTTATGCCATGAAGCTTATTGGTTTAGGACAGATAAAGGGAAGCACCTCTTCATACAGCACATACTATGGACTTGACTATCACAAGCTTTAGTAATTCCACCAATTTGAATAGTGTTAAAAGGGGATTAGACACATTCATGAAGGAAAGGGTTATTGTTGCCTACTAGTCTCGGTAGTTATATTCTACCTCCAATAGCAGAGACAATTTGTGTGTTCCTGGGAATCATGACTAACAGGATGCTTTTGCGTTCATGCCCTACTTGTGGGTTTTCTACAGGAAGCCGGTTGGCCACCGCATGAACAGAGTCCTTGATTTGAACTGGCATGGTCCTTCTTGTGTTATTCTTGTATGAGTCTTCCCACACGCAGACTTGGGATCCTTCCTTACCGGCCTGTCGCCCGAGTTGGTTTAGTGGGTGGGTACAAAGCAGAGGCCCTTTGAAGTGGTGCCTGCCCCCACACCTCGTGAATTAGCTTTCACCAGGAGTTCATGAGATCCTTTCTTTTCAGCCTTGGTTTCACAGCCTTATTTTCAGTTTTCCTTCAATTTATTATTGAGGAATATTAGCCATACAGGGCAAATATCCCATGTCTGCTTCATGTCCTGGATTGTGCACAGGAAGTTCATATTAAGCTTATCTAACTTGACTGACTGCAGTTCAGCAGCCCAGACAACTGTGAGTAAATGCAGATATATGTGGTCTAGAAAATGTTTCATGGCAAAATACAGCATTGGAAAATTCTCCAGCCCACAACAGATTCCTTTTTTCTGCAAGGAACCCAAGGCTGCTTGTACCCACTGCCTCTCCATGTTATAGTTTTTATGGTAAATTTTTTGTTCCCCTCTTTGACACCTCTGTAGAAAGTGTTCTGCATACTTAAGTAACAATAAATAAATAAGCTTGAAAGACTAGTTTATGAAATAGACCTCTGCATGTGTCAGTTCACTGAGAGAATCCAGCTCTGCCCTGTGATTTCAAAGAGCTTCCCTTATTCTTGGATTGGCCGAACCCATGTAACTGCAGGCTTTTAAATACTGCTGGATGGGATAAAACCACAGAAAAGCATTTCCAGTGGCTCTTCTGTTATACTTTAAGGGCATCTCTTTGGATGTTCGGTCTTATGGTGTCAGGGTCAAACTGCATATTATCTTAATTGCATAGTAGCAATTAACATAAATTTAAATAGCTACTGTTGGATGCTTGAACATGACTGACATTGGTGGTTCCATTCCTCATGAAGTCATTGCAAATTGTCTCCCTCTGGTTTTTCCTAGCTATGTGGTGGCACCAATGGAAGCTTTTCTCTTGGAAGAAATAATGGGAAGTGTGGTGAGTTGAGGGGATTGTTGTCTGTCGTATGGAAGGGAGAAGAATAACAGCGCTGTCATTTGTGTGATGATCATAATCCTGCCTGGAGGCCTCCCACCACTGCTATTTAAAAATACTTTAATTGTTTATGCTCCTAAGCATATAATAAAAGATACAGCTTTGCTCTATCAAGAGAGAAGTGTGGATTTGTGTTTGTTTCTTGTTTTACTTTTTCCTTGTTGCAGTTGTTAGTTTTTCTAGCAGTAATATTTCTCTGTTCCTTTGGCAGGTGTGGGTTGAGCCAAGCTAAGGAAAGGAGTATTTAGGATTTCCTTACTATTAATACTCAGCATTGTATTTCATAGAACAAAAGGAAGTAGACCAGTTTTTGATAAGCTCGTGAATAAAATTGAGAATAGGGTTTTGAATACAATGTTTTAACTTTGGTGTTCATTGTAATTGTAGTAGCATGCCAGTATATTCAGCAAACCAGAATTCAGAATTTTAATTATAGTGTATGGGTTGTAGTCGATGTTATATTTGTAGCTTTCAGTATGGCTGCTCTAAGTAGGACTACCATTGGTTACAGTCCTGGGGTTTTGCCTGAATTTTCACTTTAATTTGCTCAAATTTCACTCCCAAGCATTTTCCCTGCTTGGCTTCATCCCATGAAAAAGTAAAATGATGTTTTAAAATTCCTTACTTTATTTTATTTTACTGTATGAACACTTGCTGAAATTATATATGGCATAGCCTATGTTTCTTCTGCTTTTTTAGCAAATGCAAATGTGGACTTAAAAAAAACTTTGGAAACTCACATACTGCTAGACAAATGTATAAAATTTCAGATCATATATTTTTCAAACAAGATACTGAAAACAAGCTTTTAGAATGGAATTGTCTTTGTCACCAGAACTATCCCTCTGTGTAAATAGGAATGCACTGGAAATGCACTCTTTGAAATTACAAAATAAAACTCATTTTTTGCAGTATGATCTACTGTATTCTCCTTCAAATGAACCTTCCCCCCTAAACACTTGCTGTAGAATTGATTCTTCATTTTATAGTCTTTTAGAACATCCACTGAACAGTTAGAGATTTAGTTTTCCCTGATCTCCTTCTTCCTGCTGAACTCATTACAGGCCTGGTTCAGCACTCAGTCAAATCAACAAGCTTTTCCTCCAAGAGATGGGAGATCAGGCCCTAAACGTCTAAGATACATAGGCTACATTACTGTCAACTCCATCAATCTGCCTGCTTAAAATAGCCTCCCTTTCATTTACCCTGAATTTCCCATCAAAACAGTTTCTTTCCCTTGAGAGCCATAAAATCTGAACCCTGGTTTTTTTGGGTTTCTAAAAAAAAAATGCACTTGATACTTGACTTTGAAAACATATTACAAATACTTTGAATTATGTGTTCATTACATAAGCTGAGAGGATGGCCTTGTCCTGATGGTATGATAAACTTTGGATTAGCATTAGATGAATGAGCCTCCTGCTTACATGCCCCTCACTCTCTTCCTCTGGCACAACCATGAAGAGAAGATCAGAAGATTTTGCTTCTGTGTTCAGTGGATCACTATTTAGTGTTACATCCAAACTTGAATTAACCTGGTTAATTATGGTTTACTGAGGTTTATGAAGCTAGGTTGTTTTAATAAACCACAGCTAAGATTAACCATAGCATAGGGTTGCATGGAATACTAAACTGTAGTTATTTGAAAATAGAAGTAAAAGGGATGGATAGCACAGCTTTTAGCTTTCTTCATTGGATGGCAAACTGTAGTTTAGTGTTGCATCTGAATGGGGCCAGTCATTTCAGTTAATCTTTATTGTAATAGCTGAATCTGATTTCTATAGCAGCATTGGAAATAATACAACTGCAAGAAATGAGGAAAGGAGGGACTGGGCTTAGGACAAAGCCTTATGCCTATGGCAATCGGTATATGACATATTCTGAATGATCAACAGGTAGGCTGATGATTAAGAATGTAACAGGCTACCAGCATTTTCCTTATATTATTTGGCACTTGTTCCTAGAAGCTTCTATTTCAGTGATGTACCAAACAGTGGTGGGTAGTTTCTCTGTTCATTTAATCACACAGTACTTTTCCCTGCTCAGAAGACCCTAAAAGGATAGCTGAAATGGGGAGAATTTTTTTAGGTAGAGAAGGTATCATAAAAAGCTTGTCTGCTTTTCTGCTCAAGCATCATTTTTATTGTTTCTTGTTTCCATCGCTATTTTATAGATATAGCAGTGAAAATCCATTGTTTTTAAAGTGTGCTATTGAAAACTGTTCTGTACCCTCACATGGATCTCTGTGTGGTCTGAATATCATAATTCTATTTCTATGAAATCTTTGTTGGTCTAGGAGACCTTGAGATGAGAGCAACTTCAAAATTACATAACTATAGATTCAAATTATATCTCAAACCCTTGACTTAAATAAGAAAGACAGATCTATGTGGAATAGAAATCAGGTATTGCTGTGTCAGCAGAGACCTGGTTCAGACTTGGCTCTCTTAGGGAACAATCCAATCCAATCCATATTTAGCCATAAAAAGCCCTACAGTTCCCAGCATCTTCCAGCCAACTATGCTGAGCATATATAGGATTGTGCTGTTAGTCTGATAAGCCACGGTTCATTTGACTGAGAATAACTGTTTTGCCCACGTGTGCCCTCATCTTTCTTTCTAATATTATAATGCTATGCTTTCACATTTTGCCAAACCACAGTTATTGATTACATCTGAACTACAAAATTAGTTCATGAAGAATATAAATTTTTACATTCAGATGCAATTACAGAAGTAATTAAACCCTAATTATACTCCTGGCTTGCAAATCCAGGTCAAAGTATAGCTTGCAGTCTTGGCTTGCACTTAGCACTTAAACCATTTTTGAGATTTTAGGAAACTATAGTTTAGCAAACCTTGGAAGCATTATGGTGCCCAAGAAGAGACAGGAATACAGGAGCGCATCCATGTATGCTCTTTCCATATTCCTGATCCAGTAAACCAGCCTTCCCCAAACTAGTGCCCTCCAGATGTTTCAAAGTTCAATTCCTATCAGTCCTAGTTAGCATAGCCAAAGATCAGGAATGCCTGGAGTTTTAGGCCAAAACATCTGGAGAATGCTATGTTGGGGAAAGCTGTAATAAATTATGATTGATCATACTAACATTGTTATGTTTGCTTGGCCAAAAGCTATGAAAATTAAACCTTTGCAATGTTATATCCTTAACTTGCAGACAGGAGTTTATTTATTATTTTATTTTATTTGTATACTGCCCCACAGCCAAAGCTTTCCAGGCAGTTAGTTGTTCCTCTAGCTATGATCTTGAGGTTGCATGACCTGTGGGCATCACTGAATTGTGATATCTGAGGCCTCTCCAGCCCAGGGTAGATGCAGCCCAGTCATGAGGTAACACTGGAAGAGGTCCCACCTGGATCCCTGCAGTTCTTGTCATTATTGATGTACATCCTGGTAGTGAAAGGTTTGTGCAATCAATGATAAATATGGGCACCAGTAAGACAGCTTTTCCAGAAGGACAACTAATGTGGGTCTACTATGTATTAACCCCTTATGACTGTCCTTAGAAGCAGAAAAGCATAGCTGGCTTTCATCAGGCCATTTCAGGAGGCATCTCCTTCACTGGAGGGGGAGAGTTCTTGAATTCTGAATTGCTTGGGCTGTCTATGCAGGTGGATGAGCCCCCTGCTGTGGACAGTTGCCCCCAACTCAGGGAAGGTGATGGAAACACTGGCAAAAACAAAGCTGTCATTTACCCTGAGGCTGATTTAGAGCCAAACTACACATTATGTGAATCATAGAGCTTAGGTCTACCTTAGCCTATATTCTTGTGTATGTATGTGCAGCCTGGATTGGGCCCATGACACTCTGGGAGGGGAGGGCTAATTCTTTTCTCCACTGCTCTGGTGGTTGTGTGTGGAAAAAAGGAAAACAGCATCTGCTGGTGTCAGAGTCTTCCCCCGTTTTTTTAAATCCCCCTGTGGGTGGGCATGGAGAAATTGCTGGGGGATGGGGGAGGAATGGAGCAATGGGTTTGCGCTCTCTTTCTGGAGCATTGCAGTGCAGAGATGAAAGACAGGTATTACAGTTTTAGTGTAATGTGAAGTTTGTCCCTCCGAATCCCTGTGTATGGCTAGGTTCATTAGCTCCTATTCTGAGTGGCTTTATGGCAAGGTTAGAGGAGGTGGCTTGCTTGCTTTTTAACCTGGGGTCACCTGTCTTTTAATCCAATCTTGTCTTTAAGTCTTTCTTTAATCTCTACTTCTGTCTTTCTCCCAATTAGCTAATCTGTCATCTTCAGTACTTTCCTGGCTTCACTCTCTTCAGTTTCACTCACCTGTTTCTTCCCCCACATTGTTTCTACCTTTATTCTCTGTTCCCTCTTGTCTAATTCTTGCTATCCTGTTAGGAGGGCTTTAAAAAAAATGTAGTCTGATCTGGTGCTGTGGTGTCTCTTCTCCAACTATCACTGCCTCTGTGGGGGTCCTGGGCATCTTGCTGAGTTTGTTATTTTTGGCAATAATGTCTCCCTGTTTCCTTGCCATGTGGAGGGTGTTTGTGCATATCTGGAAATGAAATATCCTGCTCAGGGATCATGATCAGTTCCTTTCGCTAAGAACTGCAGGCGGAAATTTTCAAAAATGTGTTGGAGAGTCTGCATTCATGTGCTGAGAAGCAAAGCTTGATTTGGTATCCATGCCTTGCCCTGATCCTCTCTTAACACCCTGCTGTGATGTCCTGGAGTCCCCTTATTAATTACGCATTGCATTTTTATACTGCCCTTTAGTTGAAATCTCTGGGTGGTTCAGAACATAGAGCGAAAACGAGCAAACAAAAAAAGCAACAATTAATAATGATAAGGATGACAATATCAAGCAGCTACAAAGTGAAATCAAAGTAAAAGCAGCAGAACTCAGATGGGTGCCACCATTTAAAGGTCCTTTTCTTAGTAATTGTGCATTTCAGCTCCCTCTGAAGATGATCTG